TATTCAATAGAGAGAATTAAGCCTCTCATTTTTAATTTGTATTTGCTCTTATACTACTGGTCGTAAAGAGTGGAGCCAATGTTTGAAGCCAGGTAGGTTTTTTTTTTTCCTTTTTGTCTTTTTTACTGACCGGTAACGGGATCGCAACCCTCGGTGTTGCGCCCGCACCGCGCTCAGCCAGTGAGTGGGAACCGGTCTCTACATGGGATCCGAACCCTCGGTGGGAGCGCCGCCACACTCCCAAGTGGCACACTCTCCAGTGCGCCACCGGGCCGGCCTGAAGCCAGGTAGGTTAACTCCAGAGTGCACACTCTTAATCCATGTTAACTCTCTGACACAGGCTTGTAGTCATGATGATCATGCAAAGAGCTGGATGAAACGTGAAATGAAAAAATGTAACACCACTGAGGTGAAATTGAATATAAAATTCATCAACCTGTAGGATCATGGTGCCCAGGCTGCAGGAGGGCCCTGTGTCTGGGAGTGGATCCACGGGTGGGGGGATGGGGACTTATAAACTATATAGAGAGAAGGTGTGTTTGTTAGGCACAAAGATCCTAACACGGGCTAGAAGTGGTAAAAATAGAGGGGTGATCTGAACTGCATCCTGAAAGTAAAGCCCTGTGGCTCTAAAGTGCAGAGGCAGGGTGGTGGCTAGCAGAGGGGATCTGTTCAGGGTGACGGTGTGGATTTGGCTGCCTTGCGATATTCACAGCTGCCCCAGTCAGGCCATTCTCAGCCACACAAAGGTCCCAAGCATAGACGTGTTCAGCAGAGACTCATGAAAACAGCTGAAATGCAGAGTGAAATGGCAAGAAAACAGGAGGAGGAAGATAGCTCCAAAGAGCAAAATAAAAGTCAGCAAATATCTGGGCAAAGCAGAAACGAAAAGGAAAATGGATGCAGAGGTAAAAACAAAAGACCCCACTAAACAGATTTTACAGGATGTCCCCAAATCTAATTTAAATGAAGAAGTCTTAGGGGACGAGAAGTGAAAATAAAGTGATGTTTCCCATCACCTCAGGCTCCTTTTCCTTTCCTCTGAAAGTAGCAGGCTACTCGGTGCCGACTAGCCAGGCTTCATTTCTCCACACACAGGCTGCCAGTCCTCTGCGTGTCAGTATTTATGAACACGTGTGCAGTGGTGGCACAGGACCACAGGTGTGAAAAAACGCCTGAGATACTTGCTTATTTTGCTGTCAGCTATATCTTGATCGGTTCTAGAGAATAAACACCACCTCTCTATTGCTCTTTAGCACAGATGCCAAAAACCTACTTGCAGCATTCCGCCCCCCTCCATTCTTGACCCATGAGGAATAATATGGAGACAAAGGAAAAATAGAACGAGGGATCAAAAAGCCATGTGTTTGTCCACCCACATAGTTGTGGACAGAGTCCACAGGCTTCCTTGGGGGCTGTTTCTTCTTCCTCCTTTGTTTCCTGAGAATGGTATTCTCCTCTGTAGATGATATAGGGGTCCTTTCCTTCACAGCATGCCCCCAAATTGTGAAGGTCTTTCCTGGGCCTTTAAGGAGTTGGAAGGGGTCTCCTCTGAGGGACAGTCCCAGCAGCCTCTCCAGTGGGCTCTGGCTTTGATGCAGGTGTCACCTGCAGGTGGTCTTCCCTGCAGGGCTGAGGCACATGTCTGGGTCTGAGCTGACTGAGCTGCTGGACCAGGTGGNAATGCAGAGTGAAATGGCAAGAAAACAGGAGGAGGAAGATAGCTCCAAAGAGCAAAATAAAAGTCAGCAAATATCTGGGCAAAGCAGAAACGAAAAGGAAAATGGATGCAGAGGTAAAAACAAAAGACCCCACTAAACAGATTTTACAAGATGTCCCCAAATCTAATTTAAATGAAGAAGTCTTAGGGGCAAGAAGTGAAAATAAAGTGATGTTTCCCATCACCTCAGGCTCCTTTTCCTTTCCTCTGAAAGTAGCAGGCTACTCGGTGCCGACTAGCCAGGCTTCGTTTCTCCACACACAGGCTGCCAGTCCTCCGCGTGTCAGTATTTAAGAACACGTGTGCAGTGGTGGCACAGGACCACAGGTGTGAAAAAACGCCTCAGATCACTTGCTTATTTTGCTGTCAGCTATATCTTGATCGGTTCTAGAGAATAAACACCACCTCTCTATTGCTCTTTAGCACAGATGCCAAAAACCTACTTGCAGCATTCCGCCCCCTTCCATTCTTGACCCATGAGGAATAATATGGAGACAAAGGAAAAGTAGAACGAGGGATCAAAAAGCCATGTGTTTGTCCACCCACATAGTTGTGGACAGAGTCCACAGGCTTCCTTGGGGGCTGTTTCTTCTTCCTCCTTTGTTTCCTGAGAATGGTATTCTCCTCTGTAGATGATATAGGGGTCATTTCCTTTACAGCATACCCCCAAATTGTGAAGGTCTTTCCTGGGCCTTTAAGGATTTGGAAGGGGTCTCCCCTGAGAGACAGTCCCAGCAGCCTCTCCAGTGGGCTCTGGCTTTGATGCAGGTGTCACCTGCAGGTGGTATTCCCTGCAGGGCTGAGGCACATGTCTGGGTCTGAGCTGACTGAGCTGCTGGACCAGGTGGAAGGTGCTATCCGTGACTTCTCAGAGGAGCTGGTGCAACAGCTGGCCCGCCGGGATGAGCTGGAGTTTGAGAAGGAAGTGAAGAATTCCTTCATCACGGTGCTTATTGAGGTTCAGAACAAGCAGAAGGAGCAGCGAGAAATGATGAAAAAGAGGCGGAAAGAGAAAGGGCTGAGCCTACAGAGCAGCCGAATAGAGAAGGGAAACCAGATGCCTCTCAAGGTATGTGAGCAACGCAGTTGCAAGACTGGGCTCATCCAACCTAGTTCTCTAGCCATTTCTGGTCCTGGTACCAACCCTGCAGTAGACTCATGAATGTTTACTGAGCAATTGTTTACTAATAGCCAGCAGAACACTATGACAGACAGTGGAGTCTGAAAGAGGGAGAAGATGCCACCTGTCTC